GGCCGTGCGGCCAGCCGGGGACGCCTCCGCGCTCTGAGGGCTGCCTCCGCCGCGGCGGCGGGGAGCGCGGTGCTGCTGCGCCCTGGGAGGAGTAGCGAGCCTAAGGCAGGTCACTGGGAGCGAGCAACCCCAGCCTGGCCCAGGGCCGGCCCGAAAACCAAATGCAGCTTGTGAAGGAAGCGAGAAGCAGCCGCAGCTGCAGGGTGGTTGGGGAAACTCCCTTGCGCCGGATGCGTCATTTGATGGACGGGCTTTTAAGCTTAAAATAGGAAGTTAGTAATGACAGAATTAGGTTGGTATACAAACATACTGTATGCAAAACAGTGAAGGTGCCCGTATTGGAGTTTCGTTTAGTTTTACAGGTATACGGTAAGTGCCTTTACATTTTATTGTGCAATCCAGCCTGGATGAAAATTACAGAATCTTAGAATGGTGTGAGCTGGAAAGGACCTTCAAGATCATCTGGTTCCAGTCCCCATCTTCCACTTCGTCACGTTGCTCAAAGCCCCATCGAGCCTGGCTTTGAACACTTCCATAATCCCCATAGTCACTTAGGTGTGAGAGGCATTTATTTATTTACAGCCTAAAAATGAAAAAGACCCCTCTGATGTAACAACACATTTCTAGACCGGCAGGCTTCCCTCCCCTCTGCTGTACCCTGAAGAGTGGTGTCAAGCAGCTTTAACAGGCACATGCACAAGGCACAACAGACCTGAAGTATGGCGGGCGGTTGAGTGATATCCTCCCAGTTTAATCATAAAAATCACCTTCCTCACAGTGCCTTGAATGTTATGCCTTTGAATAGCTTCACATCGAAAAATGTCTTCAGCCAGCTAAAATGTTCATTTTTTTATTACTTTTATTAATGAGACATACACTGAACGTAAAAGGACTTAGGTCTGTGTATTGGACTCCAGTTTTAGCTTCTGTAAAACAGAGCTCCAGTAACAATAAATGACCACAAAAAATTTATGTAATGATTATACAAGAGCTTGGAGGAACAGCAGAATTAAACTCTAGTTTTAAAAGTTGCTGATATTTAATTTGCTGAATTCAGGGGGGTGGTATCAAACTCAGGAATTTCACTACTTTTATCTAAATGTAAATCTCTGCAGTTTATTAAAATAAAAAATAGGTTTTGTGCATTTAGTTTGCATTTAAACAGTGAAGATAAATGAATGTAAACTGCTCCTCATGTAGTTGTAGGCACTCTTCTGTACAAAAAGTGCACTGATAGTGCATAAGTAATGGTGTAAGAAAATTGATCTTCAGGGATGGGGAAGTAGCGTTCATTTTGTCATGGAATCGTCATGGAGCCTTGCATAAGACACTTGGTATTGCTGCATCAGTTTTCCCATTAGAAACTGCTTTGAGGATTCTATGTTTAAAATCAAATCACCATGTTATATGCAAAGAAATCTTAGCATGAATTACAAATCCTTACTTTTTTCTTAAAATAATTGATGAATCTCCTAATTGCTGCAGCTATATTATTGGCAGAATTAAATTTCTGCCTCTTGTAGCAATATTGATCACTGATTTATTTTTTTTTTTTTAATTTTTCACAATTTTTTCAGGCAAAAGAAAAAGTAACAATCCCATTGGATATGATTTTAAGAGATGTAACTATTTCTGCAGGTGCCTTTTGTGGACACATCAGAGAAGTGACAGGCTGCAGCATAAGCAGATTTTTTTTTTCCCCTGAGAGAGAATACATCTGGCTATGAAGCCTAATGCTGCACGTCTGCAAAGATATTAATTGGAGAGTGTGTAACAGAGAAGATGAGAATGAGCTCAGGCCCTGAGCTCAAGCAAAAACACATTTCACTTTTATTTATGTTTTTAGTATGGCATCCTGAATCATCACCATAACTGACATCATGCTCTAAAATAAGGGATTACATAGGCAAACAGGGAAAGGGATGAAACAAAAAGTAGTGGAATTCAGCTGCTCAACCTGGTGGAGAATGGCCATGGAAACACAAGGTATTACCTAGCAACCCTGCTGCACTGTAACTATGCATGCACTCAGGCCAATACAAGTTTGCACCACTGCAAAAAAATGAAGAGAGCTAATTTGACAGTAATAGAATTAATGTTTTCCAGCCAGATCAGATTTCTGCAAAATTAATACACAGGGTAAATGAGAGCAAGTGGGAAATGTTGATTGAGGTAGCAAGAAGCAGGAATGCTTGGTGGTGGTGCAGAAATTGGTACAAAGGTTATGCTTTCTGTACATATAAGCAACATAAAGCCAGAATTAGCTCTTAAAAACAAAGATTGCACTCTTCTATCCCCAGCTATTCATTCCTCCAAGAGGGGAAAGGTGAGGCTTTCTGCAGTATATCTGGTTGATGGTTTAAGGCTGTAGTTTCACATCCGTGTTAAAACCAGTGAAGTATGCTTGCACTGTCATGTTTAATGGAGTCTCTTGTTACTAGTTTTAACTTGATCTTAGAAACACTGGCTTTAGTGAGTGCTAGGGCCCATGCAAATTTGAGTTTGACCTATGAATATAATTTAATTCCACACAACTTCTAGTATGGATTCTGGCTGCACTCAACCAGTTGTTTGTATCTGAGTGGTGCTATCCCAGGCTGCTTTGTCATTTTAATACTTCACAGATCACTAAATGCAGAAACATGGCAGTGTATCAACCCATTAATTACTGTTACAGAAAGCAGCCTGTAATTCTAGAGCCACTCAGTGGACATTAACAATTTGCAAATGAAAATTAAGGATCCAGAATTTTTGAGCACAAAGGAATTTTATCCTAAGAGGACTCGCATGACTTTTTTTCATGATCCTTTTACACATGGAAAGGGTGATTCGATGTCTTCAAGAAAAGTAGAATATCTCTTGAAGCTCCTCTGACAATGGTAAAATTACAGCGGAAGATCTATGTAAATGGATAGTGGGGGACAGAATACTCATGGCTAAAGAGCTTTCAGACAGTAGCTGCTTTAGAGCTTGGGGAACGCTGGGCTTCATCTGTGGACAGATGCCCTAGGTTTTACAAAACAGCAGTTCACCTTGGTACAGGTTGGAAGACAGACTGGATTTAGGCAGTAGACATAGTTAACTCTTGCTTGGCTGCTGAAATCACACTTAAGCTGCACAAATTTTAAAAATGGAACCCTAAATTTAGTGCCTTTAAAGATGCCTGGCACTGATTAGAAATCATTGATTAGAAAAAACATTCTAAATGTGATACTGTTTTATTTATGATGAAGCAGTTGTCATGTGAGCTGTGAGTTTTTTTGTTGATTTCAGGGTTGTTTTCCAAACACAGCAAGACAGGGTCTGCTGTAATAAGCACCAGAGTAGTTCTGACTTGTCAAAAGGGTAGGGAATATGAAGATAACATAATTGCTGCAGCATCAATTAGAAATAAATAAACTACAAAACACAAGAAAAGGAAAATCCACCACTGAGGTATACCCAGTTTTGTTGTTTTATTCTGATGCCACTGAAGGAGGATACTGTCTTGATAAGATAATAAATGATGTGAAAAAAAATACGGTAATTCATGTAGAGCTTAGCTGGAGTGTGGAGATAGACATGTCACTTTGAATAAATAACAGATAATGTCTTGTGATTTGTATATCTTTCAGATGTGCTTTTTAAAACTAAGTTTCTCATAGGAGTAAGAGCTTAGCTAAGACTAGTTTCCATAATCTCAGTGACTATGCTAGATGTATTTGTTTGTTGTCTTCCTAAGACTCAAAGGCATTGTTCTGGTGCAGTTATGCAGCTGACTTAATTCAAATCTAAATTCGCACTGCTGTTGAAAACAGCTGATCTGATCTGGTCTCTCTTAACCCCAGGTGAGTGTTCCCACTTTCCTTTTTCTGCTTATATTAATGTTGTGTAATGAGACAACCTGGCTGTACAACAAATCAGACTCATCTGAAAACCAATTTCTCTTGGGTAGGTATGCAGGTAAACCTAACTTTGGGAATAATGTTATACAGAAGCAAGCATGTGCCATCATGTCATGTTAAGCTTTATAACAAAACCCCAAAACTGGTCATAACCCAAGACCATGTTTTAAAATAGCTGTTTATGTTGGGAAGTTTCAATTCTGAAAGGTGCTGGAAAACCAGCTTCAACAAAAAGCTTTTTTCAGTGTATGTTACAAATGAAAAAAACAGGAGAAACTATAGCAGCACTTCTTGTTAGGACCATTACATAAACCACTTCTTCCTCACTTTCACTTCTTCTGTTGAGTTTTACTTCTCTTATTGCGAAAGACTCAGATATTGATGAAAATCTGTGGCAACATGCAGTTTTTAAAAGCTGTAGATAGCCCCTACAGTTTGCCATGGCCATGCCTGCTGCTGGCAATCAAGACATCTTAAAGGAGTTTCAAGCAGAGGAAATCTTGTCCTTTCC